CTTGCCTCATAGATAATGACATGAAGCGTACTTTTTGAAAATAAAGAAATCCCAAGAAAAGAACATTTTACTTTGTTCTTTCTTTTGAAATGCCAAAAATACGATATCTGTAGTCTGCATATAATTGCTTTTTAAAAATATTTCGACTTTATTTCTCTAGAGAAACATCTTTTAAAACAAGGCAAATACAGGTTTGTCTCACAAATAACCAAGGGATTTTAAAATTTGATAAAGCCTTCATTTTTTTCAACTTTAATTCACAATACTATAATATTATATAGATTACATATTGGAAATAAATTTACATTAGATGAGAAAGATTAAATCTTTTCAGTGGCGTCAATTAACTTCCGACCAACGTGCCATTTCAAAGTTATTTTCTATCAAAGTCGTCAGTGTTTCGCACTTTAGAGCTTTGATGTCTGTCTTAATGTTGTCTTCAGCTCTTGGAGAGTCTGAGGCTTGTTGACATAAAACTTTTGTTTGGGATAATATATGAAGAACTCTACGCTTCTCAGAATGTGGTAGCCATGCTACAACCGTGAGAAATTATTCTTTTTCCAAATGTTTGGTTTGTGGTACTTTTTGTATGAGTGTTACCCCATCTCTTTTATACTGAAATAGGTTGATGCATTTAAAAATTCGTTGGAATGAAGTCAGAGAGATCCAAATCTTTCAAGACAGAGTTTATGCGCTCAGATCTTCTTCGTTACTCTCCCATACTCGCTCAAATCTTCCTTCGTTCGTAACTCTTATATCGGACCTGCGGACTATAATTGGTATGTCCCAGTCCTCATGAATGCAGTGGAATATACTGTCTGGCGTTTTAATCTCTAACAGTGGATTACTTACTACACCCCTCTGGCGAATCTTTTATGTTGTTAATGTTATAAAGATTACCGTTCCATTTCCCAACCTTCGTTTTGGTGATTCTTATTCAGTAACCTTGGTCACCTCGAAGAGGTGTAATGGTTAGAAAGCTTGTTTCGCGAGATCAATTACGACTGAGTAGTAAATTCTTTCCTCACTCGATGCCTCATACTTTCGGCATTGTGCCACATCTAAGCTACGCTTAGAAAATCACATTATTCAGTAACTTTTTCTAGGTTACATAGTAACCGAACGTGATATGGCATCGCGTTGCAAGTCACTTACTGAACATTAAATCTCATTACTTAGATAATCTCTTATACCGTAATGGCGACGATACACTCCTTAAATTTGAATTATAGATCTTTGCATTTTGTACCAATATTTCACTACCTGTGTTTGTTTTTCAGTCGTATATCTTTACATAATTTAATTTCAAATCCTCTTTTTATAAAATATCTTAAAGAAAACTAAAAAAGGTTAATAAACAATTATTAAACTCCCTATCGCCTATGTGGACTGGCTACATCAGTGGCTAGATATTGTGAACACAGGTTATACCTAGGGTTTGCTTCGGCAATTAGTTGGAGATTCGTCTCCAGCTGAGCTGGTCGAACTCTCTGCCTTCAGGCGGAGAGGAACCCAGACGAGGTTATGCCGAAGGGCTCAGCCTCGGCTGGGTTGGTAGAGAGCTACCCGACCCCTTTTCTACGGGGTCTACGGGGAATTTTTGCCTGAAATTACGGGCTCGGTTTTGCCTCTCATTAAAAAAGGGCCTTGTGCTACATCCTGTCTCGCGGGGAGGTGAATTAAATAACCATGCTTTGGCAATTAGTTGGAGATTCGTCCCAAGTTTTGCTGGACGAACTCTATGCCTTCGGGTAGAGAAGAACACAGTCGAGCGTATTGTTATGGGGTCCTCCCCTTTTCATATAAGTGGACTCTACCAAGTGTACCTGGACTGCTGCCGTTAAATACCCAGAGTTAGACAGTCAGTGAGTGTAGCCGGAGAGAGAGAGAGAGCGAGAGAGAGAGAGAGAGAGAGAGAGAGATATACGAACGGAGATAGTGTGAGGTAACCTATTCTAGAAGTCAATTACAAACACGTAGACTCTAAGGAAGTCCTACTTCGAGACTGTATATATCCATCTGTATTTGCTACTAACCACGTTCCTGGACTTACTAACAGTATTGCTCTTTGTGTGTTTGTGTAAATACATTTTATTTCTTAAATTTAATTATTGCGTTTGTCATTCCTTGGAGACCGAATTCATCTCGGAATCCACAAGTATACCGAAGGGCAGAGTCTCATCTGGGATGGTAGACAGCTATCCGACCTCATGTATAGCGGGTCTAAGGGGAATTTTTGCCCCGCATTAAAAAAAGGCCTTGTGTCAGATCCTGCCTTGCTCGGAGCTAAGGTAAATATCCTTGCTTCGGGAATTACTAGCCTGCCACCCGATTCTCTGCTTTCCAGTAGTGTATTCTCTTTTACAATAAACCTCACTTCTTTCATCTACACGCGTGTTGCTGTTCCTTTTACTCGAGTACCACTTTTGTCTGTTTGTAACCTTCTTTAAGGATAAAACATAAACTTTCAAATTCCTTTGTGAATTTTGGGACATCTTGTATTAATTTTCGTTTTGTATAGACGATTAGATATTGATTTAATAAAGTTAATCCAGATAAGAGATTTTCTTCAGAGAAAATATTCCCGTCGTGTTTTACATAAGAGCATACATTAATAAATAAATATAATTTTCTTGAATTAAACAGAGTAAGATAGACACTAACAAATATTCGAATTTCCACAGATTTACAAAATAAATTATGGAACTAATGACTTTGACTTTCATTCTTTGTCTCTTTCTATCAAATATAATTTTTTAAAAATATTTAAAAATTAAGCCCAAAGAAAGCCTATAAAAATGAATAAATGCTGACACTGTGCTACCTAATAGTAATACATTCTTTGATTAATATTAAAAATACACTTGGCCATCTTCTATCAAGTTGCATCCACTGAATATAAAACTCGTCATAAAACGGTGAGCCAATATCTGTAATGAAAAATCTGAAACTTTTATTGGAAGGAAACTACAAATAATTAGTATAAACACCAACCAGACCCGGTTAAAGACAGGATCTATGAAAGTTTTAAGGAAACTTAGAATGCACACAGACAGACCAATTTAATCTAATCGCCCATACATAATGGTCATCACCCGGAAAACATAATTTGCTCTCTTATTGATATGGCAGTTCCTCAAGACTTATGTAGCTATGAAGATCTTAAAAAAAAACTTTTAGAAAACATAATACAAGGATTTGAAGTGTAAATTTAAATAAAGTGGCAGATGGAAACATTAATAATTTTAGTTCGTTTGGGTTTTAGACTCTGGGTTTGATTGAAAAATAATCTTATTGCCTCTTTAAAGTTATCGCTGGCAGCCCATGTCTTAATGATATACAAAAAATATGCTTTCATGTTCAGGGTGTGTTCTTTGAAGATCATAGCAATATTTGTCTTTTTGCTATCATTTATAATCCCTGCTCGGTCAACCATTTACACGAGATCGTTAGGCAGGATATACGCTGGATTTCACTGTTCCTCTTACCTTCAGTGTCTTGTGAATGCAAAATTCTCCAAACACTCTTTTCTCATTATGTGATCTAGAAATTTCGACTGTCTTTTTCTGATTCTAATTGCCCCTTTTTTTTCCATTTTCCCTAAAACTTTCTAATTGTCCATATGTTCAGTCCATGGTATTCGTAGGATATTTCTTTACATTATTCGGACTATTGTCCTCATCTTTGTCGCCATATTTATCACAACGTTTCGGCCGTTGTACGCTTCGGCCTTCTTCAGTTGGTTTGGAATGTCGAACTGAACCCTTTATTTCGCTCACTGGGTTTAGACTGTTCTAATTCCACGTGCCATGTTTGATGGATGTCAGTTATCTTCTGTTAATTTTCCCTCTGAAAGATCTCCACTGCCTTAAACGGGTATTGAACTCACACTCTTTGGGTCCTGTCACTGGATCTAACCACTTTATCCACTGTGTCATGTGTCCTTCAGGTGGTTCGATATTCCAACCACCTGAAAAAGACCGGAGCGTACAACGGCCGAAACGTTGTGATAAATATGGCGACAAAGATGAGGACAATAGTCCGAATAATGTAAATAATGTACATAGTACCTCATCTCAGAAATATAGACAGACTCGGATATTTCTTTGCTTCAAGTTTCTTCTCCATCTGTGAAGAGATAGTCCAATATTTATTGTGATATAATACGTAACAGTTCAGTACTCTTTTCGTTGTTTTAAACGCAGTTTCCCTGTTTCTTAATATGTTGCTTAACTTTTGGGAGGCATCTTTCTCCATGCCAATACGTCTTCGGATAGCGATGACACATATTCAATCGTCTGTTAAAACACTTCCGAGATATTTAAATCTTTTTACTTGCTTGCTTTTGGTGTCACCAATTCGTAGTTTCCACCTTAGGATATTCTTTTTTCTGAGGACCATACATTCTGTCTTCGAATACAATTGGTGTTTAGTCCTTTCTTCTCGCTTTCTTTTACTACCTTCTGTAGCAGTTGATTTTCTGCCATTTTTATCAAGACTGCGTCCTCTGTACACCTCATGCGCCTTGGATCATGCCCGTCAGTAATGACTCCTTGTAGTGTTTCTAATTCTGTCAGTATCGTTCATTATCAGGGGTTGAATAGATCCTGGGATAAAAAAAAAATAACTGTCTTACGCCCCTTTGTATTTTTAGCTAATTACTGAATGCATTTTCTTTCCATTTTCAGACGGTATAGTTTCTTGAATATTCTTTTATATATTTATATATATATATATATATATATATATATATATATATATATATATATATATATATATCCTCAAATCGAGTGTATCTATAAAAGAAACAAAATGAATAAAAAGTGACAAACGGAAAAAACAATATTAGCCGACGCGTTTCGTCCTTTGTGCGACTTTATCAAGGCAATGTAAGATTTATTATGCTGTACGTGTTTATATACACAGAGGCCAGTATGGTTTATCGAGCCTTGTAAAATTGAGATGAGTTATTATTAATTACAACACCCGCATATCCAGGTTTACAGCACCAGGTATTCCCATGAGGTTATCCATCTAGGTACTAACTAGATTCAACGTTACTTAACTTCGGTGATTTTACGGGAACCGGTGTTCCAACGTGATGCGGACGTAAGCTCAAACAAGTATAGAAGTTTAACATGTGAGACTTGTTTTAAAAAGAAGATAGAAAATATGACACCGAAATAGGAACGCACATTGGATCGGTAAACCATACCGTCCAAAAAATAGGAAAATCACAAAGAAAATTTCGTTTAAAAAGAGTGTTGAACTGCCATTTAATATCAGTCAATGTACCGGAATACCCGTGTTTCAGCGTGTATTGGACGTAAGCCACTTAAATTGATGATATTTTTAGAGCAATGCTTATCATTACGTCAAAGGTTCAAATTAACCTACAATACTCTTGTGAATTTTATTAAAATGTTTATATAAATACATTAATCACTTTTAAATAATCTTTTCATCTAAGATAAAAACAAGATGAGCATTAATCCCTTTAATTAGAGATTTGAATCTGTTGTGATTTCGCCAAACTGGTAATATTTGGAATGGAATTATTTCCTGAGAAAAACGGATTAAATGTTTACATTTTTGATCAATGAGTTGAGATTTAGCTTTGTTTTTAATCAATTTCATAATGGAAAATACTTGTTAGCACCTGCAAGTTGTTGCACAAAATAATTCAGAGCAAATTGTCTTCTTTCTGGGGAAGTTTCAAGAGGGCAATGATCGCGCGAAATTAATAATGCCAAAAGCACTTGGGATCAGTGGAAGCTGATCAAATTTGATATCCATTAATGAACTTGTCGAATCAAATCACATTTTCCATCTGTATGATACGTGGCATCATTATGATTATGCAGTCTTTTTACCCTTTACCCATTGGACATTGAATTTGCGTTCATATATTCATTCATGAGGTTGGCTCATAAATAATTTCCGGTTTTATTGCCCAAGGTTGTTCTTCCAAAAATATAGTACAGTCAAGATTAGAAAGGCTTCCGGTCAGTGATGACGTGTCATCACCCCATTGGCTGCAAGCACGCATCTCTCTTTGTATTTATATTATTAACAATTATAACAAAAGCGCGTTATAACCCGCTACATAAATGCAAGCAGTTTCAGCACTATCGGTTCTTCTTCAGGCAGTGGTGGTTAACTGGAGAAGAAACGATCATCCACAACTATTTAGAGACGCTTTTGAACTCTGACTATGATCAACAGTCAGGACTGGGCAGCCCCGCCCAAATATGAGAACAATATATGACAACAAATATGACAAACAAGAGGGATGTCTGTGGCACAAGGCTGAGTTTAACGTGGCTTCTCCGAGCCTCTAGGCTCGGCCAAATATATTTCCTTAAAACCTGTATAAACGGGTTCAGGGTCTGTCTACCTCCCCGGACGAAACTTTGCCCTTCGACAAAGCCTCGTCCGGGTTCCGCTCTGCCAAAAGACAGAGAGTTTGACAGTTGAACAGCTTAGAGCACTGTTAATATTTAACACCCTCCTCCTCACGAGGGTTGTATGTGACACAAGTCCGAGTTTACCGTGGTTTCTCCGAACCCGTAGGCTCGGCCAAAAATATTCTCTTAGAACCCGCATAAACGGGTTCTAGGCCTGTATACCTCCCCGGACGAAACCTTGCCCTTCGGCAAAGCCTCGTCCGGGTTCGTCTCTGCCAAGGCAGAATGTTCAACAGATGAACAGTGTGGCACTGTTCCCCCAAGGCTTACTTTTCCTACTACTTTATAGTAAGTGGAAGATTCCACAACAGCCTCATTTGAGGGAAGACACCACGACACCTATTACAAAAATACCAATCGTATAAAGTAAACGACAGCCAAAATCACTAAAAAATATACTGACGAGTGCAAAACTGCAGACCAAAATTAAAGAGCATCAGGTGAAAGAGGGCACTCATTATATTGTCCAAACCGGCCAGACACCCCGACAAATTATGACAGTTCATCAACAAGAAATTAGGGATAGCAACATCTTAAAAAATCCCGTAGCCAACATATAGAGGAATGCGGAGGACGAAGTCTGCCAAACTTTAATATTTTCCCATTCTAACAATGCAACAAAAACCCCACCGAACAAAAGCTTATTAATAAAGGAACATTTTTTAATGAGCAAGTTTAAAACAATACACGATTCACAACATAAGCCAGAGGGACGTCTCTCAGAATCGATTCTATCATATTTTCCTTACCATAGGCGACATATAAAACCAGTTTAGTCTCTTAATTTATTCATTTATTCAGGGCACAAGCGTCAACACGTGGGAATATAAACATTTATAAACTTTTTGAATAGTTAAGTCCGAAACAGTTTAAAGTAAAACAACTTTTCTAAAAACCCAATTGTAAGTAAAAAATTCTTAATTTTAACATTTCTCTATACAAATACATGTATTATAAATATTAAATATAAATAAATATAATTCTTTTTTTGTTTTTCCAAATTATATTTTCTCTATACAAGTTTTTATACAGAATTTTCTAACAATTTCACTTTCTACCGATATATATATATATATATATTTATATATATGTATGTATGTGTGTGTGTGTGTGTGTTGTGTGTGTGTGCAAAGCTACTCAGCCAAATATTAAAAGAATATTTATAACAAAGAAAGGAACGAGAAAAAATATTACCAGGAATAAAGTTAAATGTACATAATAAGGTGAAAGAAATAGAAAGAAAAAAAAATCAAAAAGCAAACATTCTTAAAAAAATGATTTGAAATACCAGCATACATTTAATAAGGAATTTCATAAAGAATTTCATGAAGAAATGTTTTTAAACCTTTCACTTTTTTCGGCTTAGCTGTGGTAGTTTTCTGAGCGTAACTTAGATGGCATACGACCAAAAGTATGGGCATTTTCTGAGCGTAGTTTAGATGGCACAAGACCGAAAATATGGGTTTTTTCTGAGCATAGTTTAGATAGCGCAAGACTGAAAGTATGTGGCTTTTCTTAGCGTAGCTTTGATGGCACAAGAGAGAAATTATGTGGCTTTTCTGGGTGTAGTTTAGATAGCACTAGACCGAAAGTATGTAGCTTTTCTGAGGGTAGCTTACATGACACAAGACCGAAAGTATGGGGATATTCTAAGCGTAAATTAGTTGTGACAGAAGGTCAAAAATATGGGGCACCCAGAGACGATCAAATTCACTGGTGATTTTTCTAAGCATACCTCAGTCTTTGCACAGCGCCGAAAGTATGGGGATTTTCTAAGAGTCGATTAGATGTGGTACAAAGACGAAAATATGGGTCACACAATGAGAATCATACTCACAGGTGATTTTGGAATCACAAGGTCGAAAATATGGGGCGCCCTGTGCAGAGCTAACTCACTATTCAGTCGTAACTGATCTAAACTAAATGATTTTCAAAGCGTAGCTTAGATGTGACCGAAATCACCAGGCACAAACTCGGCGTGCCTGTGAAATGACATGATTTCTTGGAAAAAGATCGAGGAATGTTTTACTGTTGTCTACGCTAGACAAGCAGCCACCGAAATTTAACTATTATAGTTGGGGTGACAATATACATTCATGCCCTTTGAAAGAGGGTCAGTGCGAGAGTGAATGCAACTAGAATTTGAACAGAGTTCTCCGAATCCACTTTCTACGTCGATGATCGTTACACTAACGGCGTCTTATGTTTTAAACAAATGTGGCTGACATTTCAGATTCTATATGTTATCTTTCCTTTATATAAATTCAAAATCTTTTGCTCACATTTGATCTTGTAAAATGTTAAAGATGTTATAACGAAAGCATTTCTTTTCGACCAAGAAACATTTACACATACACACACACATACAAAAAAAAAGAAGATATTTGCTCAATGTCTTTTGCACTGTGATTTGGAACTGCATTTTTATCAAAAAAACAAGACAAAGTTCTTGAAAATGTAGAAATATTCACAAATAATCGATAAAGCACCACTCTGTGGCATACGAATGGTAATTCTTTGTTAGAACTAATATATGAGGTCATTTATTTTCATGACCTTTAGTCGGCTTATTTATTTGTCTATTTATTTTATTTATCAGTTTGAAATAACAAATAAATGAATTCGGGAAACTAAAAGCCGCGATAATACAAAAATTTACGGGATTGCTAACCGTAATGGCAATAGTATTATTAGCCGTGTTCTCATGCAGCATTCACACGGCGAACAGCCAGTAATAATCGAGTTACGTTTTTCTTCACTTCTTGGCCAACGTGCTGGGATCAAAGTGAAGTATCTGTTCCCCTTATCCTTAATGCTAATGGTAATATTAACTGTTTCTTATGCAAAAACATTCGACATTCATTGACCGAGCAGCCAGTAATAATCGAGTTAATATTTTCTTCATTCCATGGCCATCGTGCTGAGATCATAATTGTCCATATTGTTCATTGTCCTAACGGCTTTCGGCCACATTTATTCTTTTTCAAAGGGGTTTGTTAAGGTGTTGTTAATTTCTCTAGATGTTTTGACTGAGATGTATTTTTGTGCTGTTTTTAATACATATATTTATACATATATATATATATATATATATATATATATATATATATGTGTATGTGTGTGTGTAAAATATAAAATATGTATATATATATATATATATATATATATATTATATATATATATATATATATATATATATATATATATATATATATATATATATATATATATGTTAAATATATATATATATGCAATTTTTGATATATTTTATTTATACATTATATGTGCGCGGTACTTATTAGAAAGCGGTCAATATCAGTGATAGAACTAACATTTAGCCGGATTGATTTGTGTTTAGACCTTGCTATTTGCGATCTTCAATTCTGACGATCGCAAATAGCGTGAAACTCAGGGTCACAAACCTACATCAATCCAACTCCTACTATATATATATATATATATATATATATATATATATGTGTGTGTGTGTGTGTGTGTGCGTGCGTGTGTGTTTGTATGCCAAAAGTCAAGATTTTTATGCTGATTTTTCTGAATAAAGATATTACCTACTTACTAAATGTGTGATATACTATTGTACTCCCACTATCATGGTCTTATAGCAGACTATAAGAATCTCATAAATATCAACTAAGATTAATATCCTCTCACAAGTGTTTCATTATATTGTCATTCAATACAAATTCTGTGAACGAATTCCTAAGATTCTGCCAACAGATGAAAGATTTTCTTAATTTTAACCTCCTACGAGCTGATGATGTTGTCTAATACTCTGCAAGTATCTGACCGTGCAAAGCCTTCTTCACGCACCGTAAAATGTACCGTCGATTTCTCATCATGTATTTTTCAAAGGGGGACAAATTCACTCAAGGGAGAAAAAAAACGCTGTTTTCATGGGGGCGATTTCTCAGCGTTCTGCGTTTGCGCAAGTTGGCTGTTCTCCTGCTTTGCCTGTCACGTATCAAAATAGTGAAGTGTGTACGCATGAATAGCGAGGGAAACTGGCGTGAATAGGATTCTTGAGCATTTGTTGCTCTCCACAATTGTTTTCACTTGGCTTCCGACTCGACGTGATGCCCAACTCGGTAATATGTGACGGTTCAAAAAATAGAAAATAAAATAATAAAAAAAAAATACAATAAGGAAATCCTGATCGAGGATTTGTCCATTTTTACGAGTCGTCAAGAAGACATTTCGTGATTGGTCATATTGAAGTGGGTGTGTTATAAACTGTCCAAACAGAGGCACACATATGCAAACACATACTCGACCAAATGGAAGTTTGTTTTTTTGTTTTTTATCATAGGCTGTAAAACTTGCCTCTCAGAAACAGGAATTTCCGGATTGGTGTTATTGAAGTTTGAGCGTCTTAAACAGGACACGGCTATATGGACACACATCCGAATAAATGCAAAGGACATACTTTTACATGTCCTATAATGGAGTAATGGATAGCGGCTCGGATTGAGGAATCGGAGAGCCGAGTTCGAATTCCAGTTGAATCAATTAAATTCACTTACGTGCTAATACCCTTGGGAAAGGTATGAATCATTTTCTTCTCCACCCAGCTATGGGTAAATAGCAGGACAGACGGTGTTCTATAGCCTTGGATGTCAACTGGTCTACTGCAGAAAGAAATGTCAACCTCCAGCGGGAAAAAATCCGCCTCGTCAGTCATGTATTGAAAGATACATGATCGCCTAAGCGTGGATCACACATGGCACATAACTGAACTGACTTAATGCGTGAATTTGTATATAGTTAACTTATGACCATAATTTTAAACCAATGACAGCGATTTTTTTTCATGGTAAATATTGATGTTTACGTTTAAATATAAGATTTTGCGCCGGATTTCGCTTTCTGTCTTAATGGCTGTAAAGAAATGACTCCTTTCCAGGAAGCTGGTAGCATTCACTTTATTAGACGTGCTAGACATAGAAAAGAGAGGGGGAGAGAGAATGAGAGAGAGAGGGAGAAAGAGAGAGAAGGGGAGAGGGAGGGGTTTGATATTATACTGTAAAAATACAGTAAAAGTACTGTCGAAAATATGACTAGTTTCTAGGAAGCTGGTAGCATTCACTTTATTAGACGTGCCAGACATAGAAAAGTGAGGGGGGAGAGAGAATGAGAGAGAGAGGGAGAAAGAGAGAGAGAGGGGGAGAGAGTGAGAGAGAGTGAGAGAGAGAGATAAAGATTGAGAGAGAGAGGGCTTCGATATTATGCTGTAAAAATACAGTAAAAATGCTGTAGATATTTGACTTGTTTCTAGGAAGCTTGATAGCATTCACTTTATTAGACCTGCTGGACATAGAAGAGAGAGATTGATAAAGAGAGAGAGAGGGGGGTGAGAGAGGGAGAGAGCGGGAGAAAGAGAGGGAGAGAGAAAGGTTCGATATTTTGCAGTAAAAATACAGTAAAAATGCTGTAGAAAATGCCTCGTTTCTAGGAAGCTGATAGCATTCACTTTATTAAACGTGCTGGATATAGAGAGAGATTGAGGGAGGGAGGGAGAGAGAGAGGGGGGAGAGTGTAAGAGAGAGAAAGAGTGAGAGTGCGAGAGAGAGAGAGGGAGAGATGTTCGATATTTTGCTGTAAAAATACAGTAAAAATGCTGTAGAAAATGACTCCTTTGTACGAAGCTGATAGAATTCATTTTATTAGACGTGCTGGACATAGAGGTGGGAGATTGAGAGAGAGAGAGAGAGAGAGAGTGGGGAGATAGAGTGAGAGAGAAAAGAGAGATAGGGTGAGAAAGAGAGAGAGAGAGGTTCTATTTTATGTAGTAAAAATACTGATTTTACAAACCAGTGAGTGACATAGATGTGTATTTTGGACACACAAGAAACATTGAAAGTAGGAGAAGCAGACAAAAACAACGAGGAATCCGACTCGTGGGATTTGTATAAATTGGAATGTGTAGGAAAACAGTCGACAAAAAGAGATAGTAAAGATTCAAACAGTATCAAGAGCAAACGAGAGACAAGAAATTGCGGCAAAATAAGCAAGGAAAACAAAAAGCAACCTGCTTAACGAATTTGTGCCAAAAAAAAAAAAAAAGCGAGGAAGAAACAGTAAAGGTTTAAAAGTTACTTTATCATCAAAAGACAGGACATTGTGGAGAGCCATGATCTCCCGGTGAAGTTAGCACTCAAAGGATATACTGAAAGCAAAAGAAATTCTTTGCACTTAAAACTGTAAGTCTCTTTGATATGCCTTTAATCTGTTCATGGTTTCTTTTATAATCTGGATTTCTCATCTCAGAAATTTAGAAAGATATTGAGGGAGAAAATATGGCAACAAAGATGAGGACAACAATCCGAACAATGTAAATAGTGTAAATTATTACAATACCTCATCTCAGAAATACAGACAGATATTGAAGAAGTAAATATGGTAACAAAGATGAGGACAACAGTCCGAATAATGTAAATAGTGTAAATAATTTCAATACCTCATCTCAGAAATACAGACAGATATTGAAGGAGTGAATATGGCAACAAAGATGAGGGCAACAGTCCGGACAATGGAAATAGTGTAAATAATTACAATATCTCATCTTAGAAATATAGACAGATATTGAAGTAATATATATGACAATAACGATGGGGACAAGAGTCTGAACAATATATATAATTACAATAACTGATCTAAGAAATATAGACAGATATTGAGCAATACAGAGAAAATATGACTGACAAAGAAGGAAAAATAAATAATAAGGCACCATTTATCATCACAAAGTAACAGAAAAGAATAATAAAACTGGAAGAGAAAGATACAAGAATTGATCCATGGCAAGTTTTTAACTTTAACATATGCTTTGCTTCGAAATAAGGAAGAATACTACAGCCTACCCAAGCCATACAGATCAGGTACACTAATGGTCCTCATAATATCAGAGATAATGAACGTACTCAACAATTTAGCAAAAGCCATAGCAAAAATCTAACTCCCATCTTCGGAATGATCAGCAGTAAAACTTCCGGTGAACTCATCAATAAGCTATAAACCTTACATATGCCAAATAAAAACATGGTTTACCTTGATATCAAATACCTAAACAGAAACATACTTATTACTAAATACCTATGATTTCTTATAGACACTTAAAAAAGTAAAAAAAAAAAAGCTCCCCTCCTAGCCACGGGCAAAATCATAAGAATATGTCGTCTCATTAAAAAGCCATGTTATTTCACGTTCAACGGGAATTTTTTGTAGATAAAAAGAGCGCTTAGGACAACAAGCCGCGGTAGGCTTGGTTGTTCGAGTAGTGTAATGAATAACGGTTCTGAACTGTGAATCGGAGACCCGGGTTCAAATTCCGCTCAGGTTCGTCATAATCATTTACGCGCAAATACACTTGGCAAAAGCATGAATCCACCAATTATGGGTTGATTAGTAAGACTTGTTTCACCAAACTATTATTATCTTCCCAAAGTCCGTACGATCCAAAAATATTTTCTGGCTTACTTAAAGCCAGAAATTATTTACAAAATATTTACAACAAAACTTACAAAAGATTGATAAGCCGTAAAAAACAAATCAATCATATTTTATCAATATTTACAGTGAACGGATTCTGAGAGAAAGAGAATTCCTACGAGTCATTTTTAACATTAGAAATGCAGACGATACAATGTTGGTAGGATACAGAGAACGGAGAAAGAATAAAACATCAATTGTAAGAAGACAGAATGATGTCAGCAAAAACATGGACCTGGTTCACAAATTACTGATTGGAGATTTCAAAATCAAGCGAATACAAAAAAAAAAAAAAAAAAAATGAAATATCTAGAATTTTTTTTATCAGAGAATGGAAAATTGACACTGAAATCAGTAGAAGCATGTAGATATCGAATGAGGTCCCAAAAGCCAAGAAGATTATTATGAAACAGGAAAATATCGTTAGAAACAAAGCAATGAGTGTTCAACTACTACGTAATATATAATGTTAACATGAGCATAGAGAAAGCTGCCTTACAGAAACTAAGCAAAGCAACAAGAAAAAATTGTTATAAACCAAAACAAAGAGAACTGAACTGCTACATAATATCAAATTTTTAACAATAGAATATCAAAGGATTCTTTTTCTTAACTACACGAAATATAACAAACAGGAAAATTTCGTTAGAAACAAAGAAAGTAATGTTCAACTACTGCTTAATATCTAATGTTTTACATTAACATAGAGAAAAACGCCTTCTAACTCAGCAATGTATTAAGAAACAGGAAATATCGGTAGAAACAAATAAAAAAGAACTGAACTGCTGCGTAATATCATTTTTTTTGCATTAAAATAGAGAATAATGCCTTTCAGAAACTAATTAAAGTATTAAGAAACAGGAAAATCACATTAGAAACAAAGAAAAGAGTGTTGAACTGTTGCGTAATACCGAATGTTTTACATTAGCATAGAGAAAGACGCCTTACAGAAACTAAGAAAAGTATTAAGAAACAGGAAAATATCATTAGAAACAAAGAAAAGAGTACATAGACGTCATATCCGTCCTCCTCTATGGCAGTGAAAGCTGATCAATCTCATCCCAGATGTGGAAGTGAAATGAAGGAACAAAAAAGTGTTTCTACAGTAGGATGCTGAGAATACCATCAAGTGAACATGTAAGCAGTGACGAAGTTTTAGAGAAAATGGAAACTAAATGGGGACTCAACATCAGGAAGAGATAGCTGACATTTCGTAAGGATTGAGTGTTTAGAGAATTTGACACTCACGGGGCATATTGATGGCTAGACGGACTGAGGAAAGTGAATAACATGCTAAACGAACTTGTGTAAATGGCTTGCAGAACAGTGATTAAGAGAGATTTTGAAAAGAAATTAGAAGTTACAAAAGACAGGAAATTGTGGAGACCCGTATCCTGAATGGACACAGAGAAGAAGAAGAATGTGTGTAAATGGTTGGTAGAACATGGATATAGGAGAGATAACGAAAGGACAAAATTTATTAAGAGTTACAAATGATAGGAAATTGTGGAGAACCATGATCGCCCACATCCTGAAGGAACACAGAGAAGACCGTGTATAAATGGTTGGTAGAGCATGGATTAGGATAGATAGCAAAAAGAGAAAATTTATCAAGAGCTACAAAGAGCGTGAGGCTGTGGAGAAACATGATCGCCTATTAATAACATCAGTTGAGGTGTTTAGACTGTTTCAGCAAATGTCACGAGTGAAATAAGTTTCACAAAATCCTCGGGTCACGTTGGGAATTCATTAGATGATTTAAATGTTAACTTTGTTTAGATTAGAGCTACGCTCGACAAACAGGGATAGATTACCCCAAATGGATTAAAAAAAAAAAAAAAAAAAAAAAAAGAAGACATTTTTGTGTGTAATGAAAGGGTAAAAAGATTTTGCCTGGACAAATCGTCTCTCAGGACATTGAATCTTGCGCAACCAATCCGAAAGTCGACTTGTCTTCTGAGATTAAAAAAAAGAAGACCGATCGAGCTAATATTGATATTCCATTAAATTCGAATTCTTCTGCTATGTACCAATTCTCTTTCATGAGATGTACGACCATAGCTCTCTATAGTTTCTTTAATCTTTGTAACTCTAGATATTGCTTTTCAATTTGCTGTAAATCCCAATCATATATGCGTCCTCCATTTGTAAAAGCATGTTAAGCATTAGATATGTTTGTTTTTTTAAAAAAATGTAAGCATTTCATCCCAAGCGGGATGCCACTAGCACGCAAGGGATTACAGAGAATGGGAACGGGAGTAAAGAGTCGTGATAGAGGAAAGGATGGAGAGAAGGTCAGGGAATAGAGCAAGGCATCTGGAGATGTTGACTGACATTACATTTGAATAGTGAGAGACTATAGCTATCAGGGCGACAAGTAATAGGAAAGGAATTCCACTGACAGGGGTTTCGAGACATGAAGCTATAGGAATAGAAGAGACGGTTACATTTGACCGTTTTGACAGTGAAAGGGTGGGACGGAGGTACCAGCCTAGTTGCACGTTTAAATTCATGCAGTTTAAGAACTAGCGAAAATAGCTTGTCGAAACAGTTACCATGAAAGTAATTGTTGAAAACTCCTCTTTTTGATTTACATAAATGATCTAAGAATATACTCAGATCTTTTGTAAGATCTGGGATCTATCCTGATTATACGACGTTATAGGTGTGTACCTCGAAAACTTCTCACTGTTCTATCGATACATTCATGGAAAATGCTCGGACGGATTACATTCTTTGGTTCCGCCACCCCTAAACTTCACGGCTAGAACCCGCCATACCTCTTACATCGTAGTAAACAAAACCTTTCTCACCGTATTCCATCGGTGAAAAATTCCACTCGAGCGGCAGTTTCCAAGGTTAGATTTTAGATTTCATTGAAAAATACATCCCTACCCACTACCAAAACGTAGCAATAACTGATACATTAAAATATAGACATATTGAACACCCGGAAACTCCTGTCTAGAAAAATAAATTTATCTGTAACCTTGGAAACATGAATTTTGTTTTAGCTGTGTATTTAAAACCCAGTAATTTTAAAAGTTACTCCAAAATTCGCTCGAGGATGAAATGGAACTAATGTCTTTAATGTAATTACAAAATTAAATTCGGGGCATTTAGCTTCCATTTTTGAAACATAGTTAGAACTGTGTGGCGAAAAAAAACATATTTTAAATCAGTTAATTTATAATATCAATGCTCTGTAAATTTACATTGAGCACTATTTTGTAAAAATGCTATCTATAAAACACCGGATTATATATCTTACTGTTCTTTTTTTTTATTTATATACATACATTTTGTAAAAATAAAATATATATATATATATATAAGATAGAGACAGAGAGACCAGAGAAGAGAGAGATAAATATATATATATATATATTCTATTATATTTATATATATATATAGATATACATACATATATAAAGACCATGTGAGTAAAAGAAATTTATTCTAAACCAAATATTTTCTTGCTTTTAGTTCTTCTTTTACCTTAAAAGATGTCACCGGTGTTTATCTGATTCTATATACGAGTGGCCTTTTTGTTCTTCTTTTACCTTAAAACTTTCTGATTACTCACATGTTTTGCCCATGATATTCTCGACATTATTCTGTAAAACCACGATTCTTTAGCCTCGATTATCTTCTTCATCTGTTAAGGTATGGTTTGTCATTCACTGTCATTTTAAAGGATTGGTATTATATAGCAATTCAGTTCTCTTGTCTTTGTTTCTAACAAAATTTTCCTATCTCTTAATACTTTTCTTAGTTTCTGAAAGGCATCAGATTTTCCAGCATAAGTTATTAGATATCCCATAGCAATTCAGTACTATTGTCTTTTTTTCTAATGGGATTTTCCTAACTTAATAATTTACTTACTTTTTGAAAGACTAGAATATTGTCCAGTATCCTGTCTTATAGCAGGACTGGTATTATGTAGCAATTCAACACATGTGAAGATATTTTATTAATAATGTGAATATACCAAAGTGGGTAGGCGTCTTTCTTTCAAACGAAAATCTTCTTTCATTAACTTCCAGCATCCACTGTCATATAAAAAGACTGCTAAATATTATGGCACAGGACACATGTCTTTGTTTCTAATTTTCCTATCTTCTAATACCTTATTTAGTTTCAGATTGGCATCAGGAGATTGTCCAGTATTAACTGCCATATAGCTAATTATAGATATTACATAGCAGTTCAACATACTTTTCTTTGTTTTTAATAAAATTCCCCTATCTCTTAATATTTTGCTTAGTTTCTGGAAGCACTATTCGCATTACCTTTTAATGGTTGCTATTTTGATCGATTGACTTGTCTTAGTAACTCTTAGATTTCCTCCTTTGGAAAATCTTAATAATTCAATTTGGAG